ATATATATATATATATATATATATATATATATATATATGATATATATATGTAAAAATTAATAAGCTAAAGAATTATTTATTAGTCGTGCATTCTAACATACATGTTTCTTTAGGTTGAGCTGATCAGTTGGAATGGAGAAGATCTAAGTCCAAATAAAGACAAAAGCATTGAGAGATATCAGATTGTTGCTGGAAAATCCTATGCTAATCCAGAAGATGGTGCCCAAGTGAACAGTCAGTGTCATATGCTTAAACATAAAACTTTATACATATTTCTTATTTAACAACTTTTTTGTCTTTAGTACATCTTGTTGGAAAATATAATGGACAAGTATTTGAGGAAAGAGATGTAGAATTTTGTCTCGGAGAGGGAGAAGTTGTAGGAATTGTGGAGGGTGTGGAGATAGCGCTGAAGCGCTTTTTGAATGAGGAGAAATCTAGATTAATAATTAAAAGTAAATATGCATTTAAAGAAAAAGGGAACACTGAATTCAATATTCCACCAAATGCAGATGTGGAATATGAAGTAGAACTCAAAAGTTTTGAGAAGGTAACTATGATTTCTGAATATAGGAGTAATCATAGCAAATTTGTGATTGTCTTAACTATATGGTTATTTACAGGAGACCGAGATGTGGTCAATGAAGTCATCAGAAAAGATAGAACAGGCAAAGATTCATAAAGAAAAGGGGACAAACTACTTTAAATCCGATAGATTCAATTTAGCTATTAAAGTGTACCAAAAAGTTTTAAAATATTTATCTGTTGAAACAGATTTCGAAAGTGACTTCAAAGCAGAGAAGAACAATCTTGAGCTAACAACTCATTTGAATCTTGCTCTGTGTTACCTGAAAACAAATGAGCATCTCCTGGCTAAAGAATCGTGCGATAAAGCCTTAGAGCTGGACTCTCAGAACGAGAAGGCTTTATTCAGAAGAGGACTAGCGCATCTTGGACTTGCGTCGCCTGAAGTCGCTATTAAAGATTTCCAAGAGGTCATAAAAGTAGAACCGAAAAACACGATTGCGTCTAAGCAGATTTTAATTTGTAATAACCTTATTAAAAAGCAATTAGCTAAAGAGAAGAAGCTTTACGCGAACATGTTCGATAAGTTCGCGCAAGAGGACAAACAGGTTTGTGAAAAATAATAATGACGAATAACGTTTTTGATAAACGCGATCCTTTCACATGTGTGAAGCTTTGTATCAGTCAATACAGTGTTGTGATATTTATTATCAATATTTAATCGTTTAACACTAAATTAGCTTCTCGATATATTCGGGACAATTGGATTCTTGATCACATCCGTGTCTGTTCGAATACCTTGTGGCAGCATGCCTGTAGAACACAATCTCACTTATCTAAAAAAGAAACAATACTAAACATAAGCGATACAAAGGCTATCTCGAAAATGAAGCTCGCGTTGTTTTACCATGTTCGTGTTTGAATATAAATTGTTAGTAATGTCGCAGAAGGAGGAGGAGAAACTGAAAGAACAGCCAGATGTAATGCACGGAACTCTGGGAGAATGGGGACAAGAAGAAAGACCAGGAGGTAGAGATGCGACTGCCTTCGAAAAGGAAAATCCTAACATACTTATGCTCAATGCGAATGGTACTGATGAGTTCCAAAACATGTAAACAATGGCTCATTTTTCTCCTCCTTTGTACTGCCTTGCAACTGCCAATAACGAAAGAGAAATTGATCAATTTTTTATTTTCTAAATTTTTCACTTTTTAAATATTGTTGCTTTTCAAAGAAATCGGCAAATGCATGTCACATGGTAACACTAACTGAAATTTTAATGAATTTTTTAATGGTATTAATTATCAAAACCATTAATTAAGCAATTTTTCTGAATGCATTATCTTTAAAAGGTAAATTTGTCAAATTTTTTAATGTTTTGTAATGTAGTACAACTTTAAGCCATGATTGCATTATATTTATTTTAACAACTGCGTATCACTCCGATTTTTACAAAGCAATATGCAACAGTAATAAAAGGAACATATATCTCAAGATATATTATTCCATTACATATAGTGCCATCGTTTAAATTTAGTTTAACATAATCTATGTAATATTTGGAAGAATATTAAGACAAATTCACTTTAATACAAATGTGTGCATGTTTGTCGGGAATTATAAAAATAAATTGGGAAATATTTGTATATTAGAAGAAAATATATAACATTAATTATATGTACATGGAACAATTGTATGCAAATAATTTGAAGAATGCACATTTTCTTAGTATAAATTTATATCATCTATATTAAGTTACATGTTATGCAGGTCATTACAAAATTAAACTGCAAGGAAAATAAATAAAATACTTTAATATCGTTTTACTTTATTATCCTAATGTATTTTAATTTTTTGTACTGCTCATAATTGCTAAATTATCCTAAACTTATCAGAAAATCAATATAAGGCGATTATTTTTGTAAATTCCCTCTCATTTCATATGTCACTTCATAAATAATAAATACATGGAATAATACATAATTCTGTATTATGATTAAGTGTACTTTTGTGGTATACCAAGATATATATCAAGATGTTTTAAATAATAATAATAATAAAGAATTTTTGTTCCAACATGATTCTATTATAGGCTAGTGCATAGTTAAATAAACTATGTTTTGGCACATAAAAAATATGCAAAATATCTCTCTTTTTGCTATTTTAATTGAGACATTAAATATTAATTAACTTACACAACCGACTTTCGGTAACACATACACTAGCCTTAACGATACACTAGCCTTAACTTGACGATAATTCATAATATTTATAAAGTCAAAGAAAAAATAAGAAATATATAGACCGCTTTATCATATTTTCAGTAACGTATTATATGAGTGAGATGTAGCGAAATTTATTAGAATTGTAACGATTATTGCCGTATAAAAGTATATTAATTATGTCCTTATATGAGTAAATGCATTTGAAACTGTGCGCGCAATAATGCGCTTTGTCAAAAATCGACGTCACTTAGGATTGCATTCTACAGAACGTTTTTTTTTAGGAAAATTTACTAAAAAGCCATAGTATATGTAATGTGAACCATAGACTTTCAATAAAATCGTCCTCAAAAATAACGTCTTAGGATGTAACGTAAGGAATACATCGAAGTGTGAATTGTTTTTAAACTATAAACAAAATTATAACCAGAAACAGAAATTTTTCAATAACGCATACAGATATAGATATCTCAGTTTTTTGGTAAACCTATACATTGCCAAACCTTGGCTCGCATCATATTAAAACATTTTGTCTTTTATCTTCACAACATTGAAGTCGTTATAACAATTGCATTGCTGTAACTAATTAATTTGTCGCAATTATTTTTTAGAATATATTTTTTAATCACGCACACAAAATGCAAACCAAGATTATCAAGGCAAAGTATGTCTAAAAAACAAGATACTGCTATCTGTATACGCGGCAGGAAAAGAAGTTATTTATTTTATTTATTTTATTTCTCGCGTTTTATCTGTTGCGAGAAGAAGATACTCTCGTATTTCGATATGTATATGGGGAAAAAGTATCATTTCATTCCTCGCGTTCTCGACAGGCGACATCGCCGTGTGTAACTGGCGCGCTTGTTACCGGACACCCTGTGTATACTTCGAGGCGACGGAAATTCCTCCCGGAGCGCCCCCAACCCGCACCGCCCTGGTTCAATAAAGAGGAAGAGAGAGGCACGAAAATAGCCCTCTCCGTCTAGAGCGTAGACGTATCAGATAAGGCATCGCTCCGGGTGATTGCCAGCCAGTGCAAGAACGTCCGAGCTCGCGTGCGACAGAGCTGTCGTCGTCTGCTAGACCGAGGCAGCCGTCGTCCAGCAGGGAAGGATATACTCGCCGAAATGCCGAACATAATAAATGACATAAAGCTAGACTTTAAGGACGTGCTGCTACGCCCGAAACGCAGCACGCTAAAGAGCAGATCCGACGTGAGTACTGCATATTTATATAATTGACGTTAATTAGAATAGTCACTCAGGATCGTCCTGTGTGTGTGTGTGCTCCCTTTGTGTGGGACGAAAGAAAAGCGAAAAATTAGACACCGCAAGAGACAGCATGAGACACGTCATCGGGAATCTGCAACCGAGGACGAATCACGACATCCTGATTGCCATTTAAATTCAATAATCAAAGCACGAAACTACTGTACGTGTTCGAATTATAACAACATTTCGGTGCTGTCGTTAACTGGCACTGTCTGTAATTTGCAGAGTTCTCGCCAAGTCCTCGCCCGAAATTTATTTCGGCCCTCTAAAGTTTTCCTTATTGATTTAATCCTCAGTCACGCGCCGTTACCTATTCATTTGTGTAATGGTTACTGCGCTATTCTATTCGTAACTCTTTATGTCGATATATTTAAAAAAATTCGATTACTATAGACTTTTATTTATCATATTTTGAGGAAATTAACATATTATGCAGTGAGATACACAAGTGTATATTTACATTTCTTTTATAACATACATTTCTATAATTTTCTTCCATCATTAAGAATATGAATAACAATTAATATTTTTACAATTTGCATTTTAGGTAGATCTTTTTAGAGAAATCACATTTCGTAATTCCAAACAAACATACAAAGGAATTCCTGTAATGGCCTCTAATATGGATACAGTGGGAACATTTGAAATGGCAAAAGCATTGTCAAAGGTACAGAAAAATTCGATAAGTTATGAGTTATGCTTATAATTAATTATAATAAGATTATAAAAAAAGTATAAATTACGAAATTTCTACGCTCCGTCGCATATCCGATATGTCGACTGCAAAATGTAGATAAAGTTTTGTCACGACACATTATTCATGAAACTGTGCGAATGAATTCGTAATGATGCGCATTGCCTTACTTACTATGTGCCTTCTTTTAGCATGGCCTTTTTACTACGATTCATAAATATTACACTGTAGATGAATGGAAAAATTTCGCTACACTCAATCCCGACTGTGTAAAAAATATAGCAGCCAGCTCGGGAACAGGAAATGAAGATTACGAACGTCTTTCGAGCATTTTGGACGTTGTGCCAGAACTGTCATTCATATGTTTAGACGTTGCGAACGGCTATTCCCAACATTTTGTCGAGCACGTGAGAAAAGTAAGAGCGCGATATCCGAACCACACTATAATTGTAAGTACTCACAAATGTACGTTTCGTTAGCTTTGACTGAAACACAATGCGTAATCAATACGTTTTTGACGATTGGGTACCGATCTGCATCCTTTATTTAAACGTAAAGATTAATTGCTGCCACTACAGGCAGGAAATGTTGTGACAGGAGAAATGGTGGAGGAACTAATACTCTCCGGGGCAGATATAATTAAAGTAGGAATCGGACCTGGTTCTGTCTGTACGACACGAATGAAAACCGGTGTGGGCTATCCCCAATTGAGCGCCGTAATCGAATGCGCGGATGCGGCACACGGCTTAAAAGGACACATTATTGCTGTAAATATATTATTATATTTCTGATGACGATCAGTGTGAATTATAATCATAATTGTATATTCCTTAGCAACATTTTTATTATGCTTATATACAAGGTGTTTGAATTTTTAAGTGTCCGACCGCTTGTCTACAGGTCCTCATTTTGCGAATAACCATGTAAAATTTTGAGTTATTAATTAAAAAAAAAAATGATGAATGATCGCGCGCTATGCGGTAGATGAGTTGTAATGGAACCGTCTGCTGTCGTGTGCTTGTAAATTTGGTGAACAAAACAATCCTGTACTATTTGCAAATAACATAGATTTTTAAGTTAATAATTAAAGAAAATTGCGGACGATCGCGTGCAATCTTTCACTATATTTTTCTTTAATTAATTAAGAAATCTACGTGTTATTTGCAGAATAGTACAGAATTTTTTTCAGTTTTATTCAGTTTTATTAAATTTACAAGCACACGACAGCAGATGGTTCCATTACAACTCATCTACCGTATAGCGTGCGATCACTCATCATTTTCTTTTTTAATCAATAATTCAATATTTTACATGGTTATTCGCAAAATGATGAGGACCTTTGTGTTCAGATTAATTTAATCTACATGTACACGAACGGTCGAACACTTAAATTCAGATACCCTGTATGGTTTCTTTTTTTTTTTGTGCAGGATGGTGGTTGCACTTGTCCAGGCGATTTGGCGAAAGCGTTTGGTGCCGGCGCGGATTTTGTCATGGCAGGAGGTATGTTTGCAGGCCATGAAGAATGTGGAGGCGAGGTTATAGAAAAAAATGGAAAAAAATTCAAGCTTTTTTATGGAATGGCTTCCAGCACGGCCATGAAGAAACATGCTGGCGGAGTTGCGGACTACAGGTAATATTATAAATATCGTTATTATGGTGCAGAGATGATTAATGGACATGCCATTTCTCCACATATAGATCCTCAGAGGGAAAGACTGTTGAAGTGCCTTATAGAGGTTTGGTCGAAAATACTGTGCTGGATATATTAGGCGGCTTGAGGTCGGCTTGCACTTACACGGGAGCCGAACGTTTGCGCGAATTGCCGCGACGAGCGACGTTTATACGCTGCACGCAACAATTAAATCCTATGTACGGTCCACCGCCAGAAATATGAAGCGTTTACATAAGTGTTAAATTATATTCTTTAGTAAAGGCTTAGGAAAGAAATGTTTAACAGCAATACTTGTTGACTGCGTATTATTTGCTGGCGAATAATATTTATATATGGGTGAAAATATGTGTATATATATATGTATATACAGAATGTTCAGCGTAACGGTCCGTACGATTTTTTAGATACTTCCGACAGTTTAAGAAAAAGATTGCAAGGTGAAACTGTTTCGTGCAGGCTACAAAAAACTTGCAATGGAGATATCTACAAGCTCTTGTGTACCAAACACTAATTAAATGTTCAAAATTTTCGAGAAAATATAATTATAGCTTGTGTAAATTTAGATTCAAACAGCATATAGCTGTTATACGCATTAATTTATTAATAAGAACAGAATTTGTGTTGCAGAAGAAGGCAAGCAATTTGAATACTTGCTTCCATAAGTTGAAGTTTTTCTATTGTTTTACTATTGTTGTTAATAAAAGTAACATTTGTGATAATACGTTGAATTTAGCTTAAAGTTCTCTACAATATTATGTAAAAAAGAAAGTGTATGGTGCTATTTAAAAAATTCAAGACTTTGATTTCTCTCTTTATGAAAAAAAAATATTTTTTTATTTTTTGTTATTACAAGTAGCTTGAACGATCAGTTGCAAATTCACCTTGCAATCTTTTTCTTAAACCATCGAAGATGTCTAAAAAATCATGCGGACCGTTACGCTGAACACCATATATACACGCGATCTTGCTAAAATGTTTACCATTTATGTGATAACATTCAAGTATTACGAATTATTGCTGAATACGCTCAAATGAAAGAATGTTACACATTAATTATCTATATGCACAAATAAAAAATTTCGTTATATTAAACGTTGTCTTAAATTATTGAATGCATTATTATTAATTTATATGATCTATTCAGAGGTAATCAAGATATTTGGTTTGTAATTATACATTTAAACAATAAACATAATAATATTACCACATCTATATTTTTATTCATTATTATATTTTTATTATAAAATTCAAATATCAAGTATCTTACAAACCTTGTATTATTAACGTTCATTAATAATTTCTATCTACAGTACTTTACAGAAATTTTATCTATAAGGAAAAATTTTTCATACGTATTTCGCTTCTCTTGATTAGAGAAACTGGAAGGCTTTTTGTTGCACTTGAAACCCTGAAACATTCGTCAATGTCGATTAATCATTTGTGATAAAGTGTGTAAAATTATAGAGAATATATTGGAAATAAATTATAAAATTAAATATATTTCCAAATATTCAAGAAAAAAATGTTGTGCTGTTGCACTAAACATAAAAAAACTTATAAGATTGCGCGAATACAAATATCAGAAACTTGACAACACGACGGGCTAAAAAAAGATACTTATCAGTTCTCTGTTCACAATGTGAACATAAAAATTAAAGATATCTATTTTATTCCTACGTATTATAATAGCTAAAACATAACAATAATTTCATATGAAACATTCGAAATTTTTTTCATAATTTCTTTATATATATATATATATATATAGTCCTTTATATATATAGTATATATACGTACATGTATATGTACATATATATGTATGTATGTATGTATGTATATATGTATATGTAAAATCAACTTTGTCACATGATAATATACATAGTATTTCTTATTTACTTACAACATATACTTTACATTATCCTAATCTCTTACAATGATTAATTTGTGCGCGTAGTTAATAACATGATAGATATAATTTATTTAAAGAATATTACAATCGTATGTGTGAATAGTTAAAGGAAATTGTCCCATATTATTACAAATAAAAATATAAATTCATGACAATAAGAATATAGATATGCATGTATCTATAAAACAATAAAATAAAATAATATAGAAATCATGTGACTGTTATTCAACTGAAACATAAAATACAAGATGAAAATTTATTACGTTGATATTTTTCTAGTTTTGTATCTTGTTTTGTTATTATATTATTGCTTCTTTTTACGACCTCTTGCAGACGTTTCTTCTTTCCTAGCACAGGAGACAACTCATATGGAATAAATATTGCTATATCCTAGAACATAGTAATGATAAAGAAAAATGTAAAAAATTTTGTTTAATATATTTCCATTTAATATCTCAATTTTACAATATTCCAGGCAAAGTAACAAACTTATTATAAATGTTTCTTTTTAACTGAATATGAGACAAATATATTTAAATTATATTGCAGAATACATTAAATGAAAATGTAAATTGTTTTATAAATGACAAAAATTGTAATAAATTGATCGGATATAAATAATATTAAAATAAAGTAAAATAACATTAAAAATACATCTCTTCTGCGTTACATGGGGCATAAGTGACAAAAAATGTATACACTTATGTCCATTATTAAACCATTTTTTTCTTTTATCTCCACATTAAAACAATATTCTTTGAAGACTGTTTACTAAAGATGTCTTAAGTATTTAATCTTTAAAAGTGCTTTCTGAGGGTATAATTGCACGAATATATAAGAATAATATTAATAACATTAATCTCATATAAAAACTAATAATCATTCTAATATTACAATGAAGCATTAGTTAAAGGTATACACAATTGGTTTACAACTTTTTTTAACTTAAAATATTGCATTAAATACTATAGATGATGTGATACTTGGTATTATTATTTTACTTGCCTGTCGGTCATAACAAAATATAATTAATTATACGAAAATATGAAGACTTTCCCTTTTCGTTAAAGAGAATAAGCACATACATGTAAAAACCTATAGATATGTTACTAGCTATAGATGCGATATACTTAGAGAGAGATGTTTCAAATTTTGCCTCAGAATATATTTGTACATATACAGAATATTTCAGAAATTGCGTTCTTATTAAATAAATGAGAAATATCAGTGATGGAATCAAGAAGTATAGCAGAGTACTCTTCAATTTGGGAACATTGATCAATTTCGAGATACAAAGAAATTAAGAGATTATAAAGGATACAGTATGGAAAAATTTGTCCCGCAATATTAAATAAATTTACCACAATATAATTAAACTTGAAACCAAAAACTCGAAAAAAAAAACTTGTTAAAAAATCCACAAAATGAAGTATTCCACCCTTGATACATCCTGTATATTCCTGTATCTCTATAATACAGAATTACATCCTGTATTTTCGTAATAGACACACACATATAATTAAATTATTTCAAATTTGATATAATAAAAAGGTATACAAAAATTTGATATTTTACATATGACTAGTTAAGTCACCCAGTACTCAAACACTCTCAAAAGAACTAATACTTTTGTATATCGTATAAAAGCATATAATACTGACTAAGCAATATTTAAAATATGCTAGCGTTAGTAAACAATATTCCATTATGTGTTTACATATATTCCATCCAACTAATCTCCGGTTTGCAGGTCCTGATTCCTCTGAGTGTGTACACATGTAGATTAGTGCTGAATGAAACATTTTAAATCGTAGATCTCCTTGCCGTGACTTATTGTAGGTCGGGTAAACCTCTCTAATTGGCTGCTCCAAATATCTAAAAATAGTATTGGTATTTCACGAGAGAAAGCAAAAAACTAAAGTAAAGTTGTATTTAACACCAATGTAACAGGACATATGCATATGTAAATTATCATATCATGTACCTTTCGTATATAATCGACAAAGTAATGTTTATACGAGTGATATAAACACATGATAGCTGTATCAATCACAACTTTTCATATAGTCGAGGCTTCGTAGATATAATAAAAACGAATATTTCAAGCAAATGAGTATTTCATCAAGGCATAAGTAGTGACCTAGTATGATACATAATACTAATATCGTTCATAACAACGCATGTAAGGATATATAGTTTAACAAATTTAATGAGAGAGGATGCAATAAAATGGATATACAGATGTCGATCCCTCGTTCCTCTTTCTGACCAGCTGCTTCACCTGCCACAGCTTCAACTTATATTACAATTACATGTTATGGAACAAAAATACATACAATTTTATAAGTAGAACACAGACATATATCCATACTGTATTATAATATTAATTTCAATAAAATTGTTTCTCGATATTTTTTGTTACTTAAACTTAGAACGATTGGTATTCTATATTATATATAATACCTCTATATATGTATATATGTAAAAAAAGAAAAGAAACGTATTGTATAAACAAAATATAATCGGTCTTCATATTTTCAAAGATATATGAAGATTATGAAGCATCAACTATAGTAATTTATGATCAAAGTTATATGGAGATATAGCAGGCATTAACCGCGCCCCGATGGAAAGCTATCTGAAAACTATCTGAAATAAACAAATAATTACGGTAAAACAGATGATACATGTACAAGTAACAGGTTTAATTTCAAAGGTGTAAATTGTATCATTATTAAAATCGTCACATGAATCATGAAATTATCATAAATTTTATATTTTGTAAAGTTTAGTTCGAATTCCCTGAAAGATTCAATGAATATCAGTGAATATGTAACATTTCCTTATTCTTACACCATTGATTTATAGCATGTCAGAATATCGAGCCAATATAAAAATAAGTATCAAATATTTCATTTAGAAATGATCACAGATAAAACAAATATTAAACAAATGATAGTTTCAAATGAATAAACAATAATCATTTATACATATTAATACGTTATATTAATATGTGTATAAACATTTATTTTTGTAAAACAGATAAATTGAAAACGTCTGAATTCTGATTTTATTTAACTAAAAAAAAATGTTAAACAAATATTTTGACAATGTAATATTCTTTGTCCTTCTTATTTATTACTCTTGTATAATTATGCTTGTGTAAATATTTCCACAGAATACGTGTGTGTGTATGTACGCGCACGCGTATTCATGTCTTAAAAAATTATTAGAATTGAAAAGAATAAGTATTGATCCGCTCAAATTCATATTGGCTTAATAAAACAACTGTAGTGTCAAGAAAATTGTATGAATTTTTATTATTACAAAATTTTAGATAAAAATATTATATATTAACCTTGAATTTTTTATTATTCTAATAAAATATGTAAGTTTATTACGAGTATGTACATAATTGACATACATAATATAATTTAACAGTTTATTGAAACTCTGCATATTTCATACAATCTTCTGCATGTTCATACATATTACGTTATCAAGATATATACTTACAGCTTGCCTTTCGCTCAAATGGAAGTTTAATTTTCAGAAGCAGACTGTGAATAAGGGTAATTCTGATAGCCTGTTGGGAAAGACGGGTTCTGTTGCCCTGTTTGAGGCTGAGAATTAGATCCAGCGTTCGCTGCATAATAGCCCGCTGGAGCATTGCCGGCATTCATTGCCGGATAACTTCCATAGGCTTGAGGGAACGCATTAGGCGTGGTACCCGGTGGACCAGCAGACTGACCCTGTAGAGTCTGCATTTGTTGTTGGGCTATTTGATTTCCTTGCATCCCAAGCTACACAATATTACAAGATTGTGGTAAAGTATGATAAACGATACACAGCGCGCGATATTCAATGTGCAACATTATTCAGGGAAAATACCTTGCCTGCCTTCATTTGAGCTTCTATTGCTTCTGCTTCCTTTATTTTTCCAATGCTTCTGTAGTACTCCGCCCACTGAACGCTATAGTCGGCTTGACCTCCATTTTGTGCAGCACCTGCCTGCTGTTGTTGCTGAGTTTGCTGTGGTTGCTGTTGCTGCTGTTGGTTTGGTCCAGTAGGACCTGTCGTCCCCGGATTAGACTGATTTTGTGAATTACCTAAAGTAATCGAAAACTTGTTACATATATATATATCTTTTTGCAAATATTTTTAGCAAACGTAAAGTTATATTCTCACCTCCTTGTGGATTGTGATCTTGTTTTCCTTGTTTCGCTTGCTGCTCGATCATATCTGCTTCTCTGTGCATACCCAATGACCGATAATACTCCGCCCACTGAGCACTGTAATCTGGCTGACCAGTTTGTGGATTGACTTGTACAGGAGGATTAGGATTGTCTATGCAAGAACAAATTTATTATATAAAACCCGTTATAAATATAATATTTTAGAGCCACAAAAGTACACATACTTCCGTCATTAGATTGTGGTTGACTTGGCCATGCTTGATATCCTCCAGTTCCTGTATTCCAGTTTGGATTATATCCAATTGCACCTGGCGCCCCGGTATATGAAGAACCAGCAGGACCCTTTGAATAGTAAATAAAAAAATTAACATTGCATCTATATATGTAAAATATTCTGTGGATCTATCTTATAACATTTAACCACACTATCGTTGAAAGTTACAGAATAAACCTGGAAACTATAGAGACACATATAAACATCATTAAACATACCATGCCTAGTTTTTCACTAAATATTCTCTTGGCATGTTCAACTTGCTCAGGATTTCCTCGAATAATGAAAATCTTTTCGTTTTCATTACTTTGATTTCTTCTATCTAACTCACAATGCGCTCCTGTCTGTTGATTTATTTGCTTAATAGTTTCACCACCTAAAAAAATAGAGGTCTTCTTGACAAATGCTTTCAAACTTTAATGGGAACATATGCAAATTTGTTATGAAACAATTATTATTAATATAATTGTTTATTACATATAATCACTTTATAAGCATGCAATTATATAAGATATAAGTTTTTTACAATTCGTTAAAATCTATGCAAAATGTAATTCCATAGTGAATAAAATGAAACCTTTGCCAATTATAATGCCACATTTGGAAGATGGAACAGTGAACGTCGTTTCGATTTTATCTTGCATAGGGCCGCCTTGTCGTCTATCCCAACTTCCGTATTCATTTGGATTACGACTACCGCCAAAACCGTTACCTCTTGGACCACCTCTGCCTCCCATGTTATTTCTTCCATCATCTCTTCTCTAAAAATTAAAGATTTAAAATAATTTTAAATTAATAACAGCAATACAATCTCTAAAATCGTCTAAGAATATTATTTACAACAATACAAATTTATCAGTTACTGTACATAAACATGTTTTGATAAATTTATAACTTTATTACGAAATATATACCATAACGCTATCAATTAGTTCTTGAATTCGTTGACGAGCCTGTTCAACAGCTTGATGCTTTCCAGATAACAAACATTTACGATCGCCAGGGCCATCTTCTCGTCCTTGCTGGAACTGAACTTTGGCTCCACTTTCTGCTTGTATCTTTTTTATCATATCTCCTCCCTTTCCAATAACGACGCCCACTGCAGCTCTTGGAACGAGTACCTATATTAAATAATATATAATTTTATCAATACAAAATTTATGTTAATAAAATAACAAGTGCATCTATGTCACAATTATACACGTATATATAAGCTCCAGTCCAACGAAATTCTATTGATACATCAGCTTGAAATGTAATTAACAAAAATATACATATATTTAATAATTTTTAACCTCCACTCCATCATTATTTGCAGGACCATGATTAAAACCATTATCGTTGGAATAATTTCCTGCTCTATCTGTACCTCTTCCTCCTCTATGAAACATTTGCATCTCTTTTTCAGCTATTAATTCATACACTAATTGCTTTGCATGCTCAACTTTTTGAGGATCTCCTGTTATTCTATAGAAAAGATACATCAATTTTAAATAATCATACAAAACACATCTCATCGCCCTTAGTACAAATAAAAAATTAACATGAAAAAAATATTACATAAAAAGAAAAAGATCTTTATCTTACCTCAATGGTTTTTCTTGTTCCTGCGATGGTCCTTCTTGTATAACAACCATTTTAGCACCTGATTTTTCTTGCAGTTGTTTTATAGTTTCACCGCCTTTGCCAATTATCAAGCCAACTTTAGGACCTGGTATCATTATCTCAACAAATCCTGGATGACCCATCATACCACTACTACCTCCACCCATATTCATGTCACCAATTCCCTCGCTTCTACTTCTTTGATTCACGATTGACAAGACCAATTCCTTTGCGCGACTGAAACACACAGAACAAGTGTGCAATATATCTTCAACTAAATTTTTGTCACACATGTTAAAAGATTCCATTAATATACAATAATAAAATTTGTTTGCAACACATAAATATGCACTATTCTATCTATTGTGGGCCAAAATGTTATGTCACATTTGTAACACTTTTTATCTTTGATCAATAATGCCTTTAACAATCAATGGTGCAATAAAAAGGTTTCAAGGTTTTAAAGGTTTTGTGTTAAAATGCCATACGTTTAGTCAATAAGCAGTTTTAAATAAATAAAAGTTCAATTTTCTTCATGTTGTGATTAACGCGTCCCCATGCATATCCTATCCTCCTTCCCTCCTCTCTCTTTCTCTCCCTCTCTCTCCATACCCTATTAAAAGCAAAAAACTATTAGTAAATACAAAATTATTAAATTAAAAAGATCAACTTATTGATCGATTTTCAATGGCCAGAAATTCTGAAGCATATAGAAAGTCAAGTTTGAGCCTGCTATTCGCATCCAGGAGCTAAATAAAGAGATTCTGTAAAACATTTCATAATTTCAATATGCATAAGCATATGTCTTATGTTTGTAAAATGCATGTTAACATGAAATTTACAGCATACAGAATACACATACAAACTATGTTATCAGAACTAATCGTGCCCCAATCATATTTCTAATAAGTAGAGTCATAAAGCGTTGCAATATTCACATATTTATCACGATATCGCAATATCACGGTTTGATGTGAAAAAGATTGTTTAGTTGTTTGTGGGAAACAGATGGGACTGTGATGTGGAATACAATTCGCACTTAAATAAATTATAATGAAATATCCCTGTATAAGTTTAAGGAGGATAGCAGATTTGCTTGGCTGATTTATGAAAAATTTTGGGCAGAGAAATATTTTTCACAACTCAGTCTATAAATACAGAATTCGAACCAACAGTCATATACTTTTACTGTAGTAAAAGACAAGTAAACACACTTAATATCAATAGATAAAAACAAATCTTCATCATTCAACATGTGTATATAAAGTGATGGTATGTATTGCATTGCATACAAAATAGTTAAAATTAATGAAATAAGAAGGGAAAAACAAGTTACTTGACAGCTTCTCGTGAACCAGTTAGTGTACAAACGCGTTCAGGCAGCCCGCCACTTTCTGGTGCCATTTGTATTTTACATCCTGTTTCACTCTGCAATCTTGTGATCTGTTCACCACCTCTTCCAATTACTGTAAATATATTATTATTATTTAAAAGTGATCATATAAGTATAATTTTATAATGCATAATTCTCCTATTATTATGTCTCAACTTCAAATGTAAAAATAAATATAATATATATGAGATATTTGTATATATTAATAATTATTCTAAAGAAAACACAATAAATAAATTGCAAAATAATAAAATTATTTAATTTAGTAAAGATATATATCATTACTAAAATAATAAATAATAAAACAAGAATATTATGATACAAAGATGCAAAAATTTAAACAAATGTTTAAATTTATAAAATATTTACAAAATAAATTATAAAATATAAGTGAAATTTATATCAGATATATATTTACCCATAAAAGGCATATATGTGTTTCTTTGTTCTATCATTTTACTTACTTAAACCAACCATTTTGTCTGGAACTCTAATATCTTCATTGCATATACCACCTACACTGGAAGAAGACGTTTGTGGTCTAGATGGTTGGCTACCTGAATCTCCAATGGAACTGTTACCACCAGGACCTCCACGAATACCTATTAAAGGATCCGCCACTAATGCTGCCATTTTCTTTGCTTCTGGCTCTGCATAAAATAAAAAATAATAATAAAATCATAATAAAAGATATTATAATATATTAATAATTGCAAACACAAATAAATAAAAGTTACTTTATAATAAAATAAGTTGAAAAGATATATATTAAATATACTTCACCTGAACTATCTTCAAGAGGACGCTTCAATTTGGAATCTTGATTATTTTGTGCACCAGCTGGATTTATTTTTGCAGCAATCTAGGAAGATTAGTTAACAATGCAAAACATAGAAACTAATTTCTCTCAAAATATATAGTGCACATATACTCATGTGTGTGTCAAAGTATATAGTAACATATTGACTTGATCAAAGTACATAATAATAACATATTGACAGAATGAATCATATATATAGCAGTTGTAACTTTCACCTAGTTCTTAGTGATCAAAAACTAATGCCTATATTTTGTTGTTTTTTTTTGCTGCTTTCGTTGATAATACATGAGCTTAAAATATCATGCTAGAAATATATCAATACAGTATCTCTATATAGATGTTTTCCAAAAAAAATACATATTTAGTACATAAATATGTATACATATATTACATATAATCAAACAACTATATCAGATCAGTATAATCAGATCAAAAAGTTTTTCATAATTCAACAGCTTACCATATTGTAAAATGAAATAGCGAAAAATTTATGGACAAAAGTAATGTAACGAATAAGATCCGTATTAAGACTAACACACAATTCCGTACGCTAGAAAAGATGTGACGCTTATCCTCAAAAAAAGCTGGAAGATACGTGTTCTTGGCGGGTAACGTAACGGTGGCGTTTACTCATCGGCGCCTAATGCTGCTATTACTAGGAGTGCATTATTGAAGCCTACGAACAATCGCGATTACCTGTTTGGCACGTTGAAGTGCCGCCGCGAACGCGGTGCTTTGATTAAAGGTCTGAGGCGGAGCAACCGCTGAATAGTCACTCATACTGGTGCATTAAGTTGTGGGACGATGAGGGATTTGATACGCTGTTTCTGGATTCTGGTCGAAGTTCTCCGATTACCTAACCAGATATTTTGACCTGTACAGGATGTTGGGAAGAACGCGGAGACGGAGCGTCGGATCCACAGACACAAAAACAATATTTTTGAAATGCACAACGCGACTTACAATGCGAAGGTTTACGGAAGGTTTACGAGCAATGAAAGAACCGTACTTTCATTCGGAGAGGGGACTATACAGCGCAAGCGTCGGTCATCGAGCGTGTATCTTTTAGGGGGAAAACTCACTTTTAAGGACAGCTTATGAATCTATTTTCGTAGTGTGAACTCATAAAAAGTGAAAAATCTGATTTAGAAATATATGGAAATGTCCACTACTCATGAGTTCACATTAGAGGAATGGTCGCCTCCAAGTAGTGCAAAATTAAAGCCAGCATTATGCTGGTTTTCATGTTTTGCTTGCTGGATAGAAATACTCTGTTCTAATTGGTGCATTTCTGAAGATGAATGTGGAATGCAGAGTGTGCCGTTAGCTTTATTCACTTTTCATAATTTTATATTAGGGCCGGTATTCATAGGCTGCGTTCCGAAATTCACTGCCAGTACTTTTTTTTTTTTTTTTGTTTAGACAGAGAAAATGCTTTACGCACACCCTAGGGAAAGACGGGACTTTCCCAGGGGTAGTGTGGGACTCACCCTCCCCGAACTAACCGTCCGGGGGGGGGGCTACCCACTAAAACCTCTGCCGGGCCCCTTGCGACCATTGCGAGGGCGTCCCGGGAATCGCTTGCGCATTACTTCCGAGACGCCCTCAGCCGCAGGGCGGGGAATTAATTTATCGAAGAAAAACAGTAAAATATAGCGTATTTTCTCTTTGCTGGTGTCCATCTTTGACGTGCGCTCAAACAATACTGAGTCAAACAATCACAAAACTGAGAAGTTTTTTTAGTACGAAATCTTATCTTTCTAACGCCATCTAGCGTAAACCGATCGCACTTATACAACGCGAGATACACATTACTAAAGCTATCTATTGGAAAAATAATGGATTTCTTTTTACTACACCTTATATTTTAGGGTGCGTTCAAATTCCCTACCCGAATGCACTCTAATACTAGAAGTTCTATAGTATATGTAACATATATTATAGTGTTTCTAGTAATAGAGTGCACCCGGATGAGGAATCTGAACATAGCCTTAGTGGAAATAGCAAAGCCCCTTAAATGAGATAAAAGAACAGTTAAGTTTTTAATTTCATTTTTCGGTTGGGTTTTTACATAAAAGCTTATTTGTATAAAAAATATTGAAAAATGTATTTTCAGCTATATAGATATTAAAGTGAAAAGTTCGAACTTTCAAACGGTATAAACGTGTGCTAAAAATAATGCTTTAGTGTAGTTTTGTACTAGAAAGTTCACCTGAGAAGGACAAACTTGTAGTCTTTTCAGCTGCATTGCTGAACTAGTGCAATAAGTTAGAATGAGAAAACATATACTTGTTTCACTTTAACTTATTGCACCAGTTCAGCAGTGCAGCTGAAAAGACCATTGATATCTTGCTCTTATTTTCTTACAGTAAAATATTTTTGAAAGAAAAATCTTAATTTGATACGTCATTGTGTATAGATTTCTTGCAGTTTTATTGAAATATTCTCACAATTACAATTAAAAACTAAGAGATGAATTATTGAAAGTCTAAAATATAAATTTGATTCATCTGATGATACAGGTAATACACATTTTAGAACAGGAATATTTGTTACATTTATTATAATCATTCCATATAAAAACAATAAATTGTAGCAATAACATTATTTTTTTAAATATATGGTAACAGAAAGAAATACTTTTTGAATATCTGTTTGTACCTAATATGTCAAAAATACAATTATTTCATAAATTATTATTTATATATTATGACAAATCAGTCTACTAATATATTGAATTGTACATATGTCTGTTACACCTCCTATTAGAAGTGTTTTTGTTAGTTTTTTTAATAAATAAATATCTCTTATATAATACAACTAACTGTATTTAAGTACAAATATAAAAAATGACATAAATGTAAGTCTAAAAGAAAATACGACAATTTAGAAATATCCCCTATTTTGTGTTAATAGCTAGAAAAAGATTTGACAATTATATGAAAATAATTTTTTAAAATGAACTTTTGACTGTATTAAAATCGTTAAGTACATCAAAGGAAATTATTATTAATGCTCTTTTCTTTCTGATCGTATATGTTTCTTACATATTCTTTCGAACAAAGCCCACGTTATGTTACCGGGTATTCTCTGATGTTTTCTTATTAAATCTTCGAGAGCATTAGCAACCTGAAAGTGCACCGAAATTTTTTTTCTTTTAACAATCGTCGTTACAGAAAGACGTCTCACATATTCTTTCTAATAATCTACCTTCAATTTTAGCTCTTCAGGTGTGAGACTTTCATCATATGGAATTGGCTTACCCACGTACGTTATCATTTTTACTGGGAAGCCACCGTACACTGGTGCCATTGGTAGTTTTGTCTTGGCATATATCCTCGACCATATTCTTCTTCCCCAACTTACTGTTCTAAATGCTTCTCTAATATTTTTCGTAAAGAATGGAATTACACTCTGAAAAGAGTACACAGTATCTTTTATGATGGAACCTAAATTAAATCATATAAATTCTTATGGCAACGTACCACTTTTGCATCGAGAGCTACCTTGGCAAAACCTACTCTCTTTTTCCACATAAGTTGATAGTAGGAATCACCGAATTGAGCTTCGTGTACACCGCCCGGGGAAATAGCAAGCATATTTCCTTCTTTCAAAATGGCAGAGCATGTTTGAACAGTACCAGGTATTACGCTCATAACATCAGTCAGTATAGACCATCCAGGGATGTTAAAAAAGAATCGATCTGCTACTGTATGTACTAATCTCGAATTAAATAGAAATATTTTAGCTATAAAATAATATAAATCAATTGGGAGAGCTCCGTGATAATATACAAATAATACTGGTTTGTCCTGAGGAATATTTTCTAAACCCACAATTTCATATCCTGTAAAAGAAATGTATTTCTTTTAGTAACAAATATTAGTTTTTAGTAACAATTATTTGTAACAAATAAATCTTTTGCAGTAAATCTATACAAATAATATGAAGATATGTCTAATTTATTTAGCAAAATTTTTATGCCATATGTATATATTTAGTTTGGTGTTGAACAGTTCATTGCGCAAACATACCATGCCAAATCCAACCATGTGCATCCCAGACAGCTGCAACTGTATAGCGTGCTGCATTCCGCCAGTCAGTACCATAAGCATTTCTTAGTTTAACTCTGAAAATAAGTATATATTATGTTTAATAAACTATAAAAGATATATACATTTTTTTATATTGCAAATATAAATGGTTTTATTAAATAAAGCTATTTTAAGCTATTTTCAAATAAAGCTATTTTCAAATAAAGCTATTTTTAACATATATATTAAAACAAAATTTATTGCTTCTAAGAATATATTATTTTGTTGCAATTTTACTAATAATAGTTGTTAACAATTTAATCAGATTACAGTTAGTACAGCATATAAGTTATATTTCTGTCAAACCTGTGTAACTTGTAGACATATAATATTAAGCAAGTTAGATATAACAGTAGCACAATCGCAAACGGGAGTAGAAATGTTACAAGAAGTGGCATTAACAGCCATGACAGCCATGTAAAATCCACATCCACATATTCAGCTGAAAACAATATAAAATGTATTAAAAACTATTAAGAATTGCAAAGAAATATACAGTAAATGTGTGCTATTTTGTACAAATACACAGTCTGTTAAATATAAAAATTATAAGATATGGAAAACATAAGCTTACAAACTAAGGTAAGATGCTTGTTAATGTATATATTGTCATAGTAAAAATAATGTTAAAGTAGAACTACACTTGTTACAACCAAAGGTTATGTAAACATGTAAATAATACATTTACCTATAATATCTTCTATTGTTGTATTGTATTGCCACAAGTTGCGCACCATGGAAAACATGCTTAGATTTATAACACAGTAGTATGGAGAATAAAAGATAGCTAATAAAACAATTGTAAATTTGATATTTTTGATGTAGGAAGCACCCACATGTTCTATATTACTTATTGAAAATTCTAACTTCGAGTTCTATTTCGATGTGTCATTTTTTCTTACTCTCTCCACACGTAATATTCATTAAAATTTTAAAATAGTTTCTTGCGCCAATTAAAATGAACCGTTATCGACCGATTAGACCTCGCTTTCTATATTATCATATGTATACATTTTAATCTATCCAATACGTTATCTAGGGTGCGATCCAACAACCGCTATAAATGCTGAGCAGCGTTTCTCTCTCTTGTTCTATTCTTCGGATTCGAATAAAGAAAGAGAAAGAAGTAAAAACGCTACAAAGCATTTGTAGCGCCGGGTGGACTGTACCCCTAGTCACGCCACTGAAGTATACATTCTTCTACACCGTCATTGATTTGTACTACTTAAAAATGAAAATACCGTCCAATCAAATAAATGCTAATGATTACGTTCAGCAGAGAAAGCTGCTTTGTTGTAAAATTTGTGGATTGATATATGTTGGCTGAGTTCCGAAATTCACTGCCAGTGCTGAAATTCTATAATATACGTGATACGAACTATAGATATTCAATATTGGTAGTGAATTTCGGAACGCAGCCGCTATTAAGGTGCATTTACATCTTGGCAGAATAACAGAAGCCAATGGTTGCTTTCCAGTCAATCAGAACTCATGCTAGGTCAGGTGGTAGTCAACTAGCTTTTTATCAACGTGAGTTCCAAATGAGTGGAGGATTCATACTTCGACCTACAACATCCGATATCCAATAGGAGAATTGGTTTTCTAGAGACAAAAATGTCACTAGCTAGAAACTCTAGCAAAGAAACTTTACTATTGGATATCGTGTCGTCGTGCGTCGATGCCAAACGCAGTATGAATCCTCCATTACTCCCTGATTAGAGCACAGTTTTGTAATTTATGATGGCACATATCATTGGAATATTTTACAAAAACTTATTAACCACGAATCTAACTCCACATTTACATATTCACGCTATAGGGCTGACATATGATGTCCTTTCAAAAACGGCGGTTTATATTTTCCGATTTCAGCGCAGCCTATACTAAACTATAGCAATTTAGCAATCTAGGTATTTATAGAAGTCTGTGGTCGTTGCATCGTACCACTGCTTCGATTTCGGTCGGCAGAAACCGTGGCGGCTCGTAGCGGCTTCACATCGATTCATGACTCGACGTCGCCCATCCCCAGTGACGGACATCGCATATAAGTGACGGACATCTACATAGTCACGCTGCGTGACTCACGCATATACGGGAAGTGGGGTATGTGTGGTGTGTAGTACACAGATGATACGGATTTTGCAATTGCAGTCGTTCCCGAGTATTGTCTCGCTTTGGTGCTGTTGTTCGTAACGCTGTTTCGCCGACGGCTATGCCATTCTTCGTCCGTTTAAAGGCGATAGGAAGCAAGTAAGATCGCGCGAATGATATTCGATCGCGAGAACAACGACTCGTCGATGCTCAACGTGCATGCGCTGCCGTGGAAGGACAATCCCACACATTCGTGAATGCAATTCTACGTTATCCGGGACACGTATGACGGACATTAACAGCTTCGTTTTACCTGCATCTTGGCAATAGGAATTGGCCAGATGAAGGTAAATCATCGAATGCTCGTCGAATGGTAGATAAAATCGTTTCCATCAATGCGCCCGATGATTAGATGAAAAACTCGACACAGATTACGTGCATGGCGTTCTGTTTATTGTTATTGTCATACAAATTTTTAGTTTTTTTTTGTTTAAGGATACTATAACTACAACTACAACGTGATACTTAATTTTATTTACAAGTTCGATAACATACACATGCAATACATATTTTTGGGGGATTTTTTTTACAATTTTGTGTGTTCCTCATAGTATGCTTGTAATCTTTTGTGTGTACTATTTACTTTCGTGCATACAGGGAAAATATCTGTGCACAAGTGCATGAATGAAACAACTGATATAATAAAATATTTGTGTCCGTGAAAATAAAACCTGATGAGAGTTAATGATTAATGAGTGATTAAAATGTTCTTTGTTTAATTTTTTTGTAAAATTTTGCTTACTGTTTTTAAGCATTGAAACAAAGCACAAGCAAAGCATATTTTAAGCGTTTTCTACACTGTTCATCGAATAATATATAGTAGGAATGTACAATTGGTATTTTGCAGATAATGTCAGACGATGATGCTGCAATGGACTCAATGGATACTGAGGAAGAGATTTTTTGTCCTCGCACCCGTAGCTTGGAATCAAATGTCAGGCGATCCAAGAACTTGCGCAAGCTGAGATCGCATTCTGGCTCTACATCTCATATAAACAATTTGAGTGTACGCCGCAGTACACGCAATAGGATGCAAACTTATGACAACCTTAATACGAGTTGGATTTTAGGTATGGATCAATCTTCTTTTACTCTCTCTCATATATAAATGCCTATATTCTGAACCTTCTTTTATTGTTAAAAGTGCCTTAAATATAGCTTCTCAGCCAATCAGGTGGCTTCTAAGCCTTTTTTAGAGGCTCATTTATTGTTAAAAGAAAACTCAGAATATGAGCCAAAGAATACTCTGCTTGATAATAATGTAACAATATGTTAAAATATTTGTAAAAATGCACAACACAGGTACACAAACCTTAAAAGGATATCCAATGTTTCAACAACATGCTTCTTCCTCGGACAAAGAAATAGATGATGTTCCTGGTAGAAAGCGTGATCTCAGAGATCGGATGCCTTTGAGGTCTCGCGAAAATCATCCACCTAATAAAAATTCCACGAGACACATTAGAGATAGAACGGAACACGAGCGACAGAATAGCAGGGAGCTCAGAGGTAGACTCAGAGCTAATTCGGAAGTAGAACTTAAGGAGAAGGCAGAACAAGAGAAAAATGTCAGTACAGAACAAACAAGACCGACGAACGAAGAAAAAGACACTAGGTATGCATCTCGATAAGATGCTCATATATTGCGTGGAATTTATAATGTAATGTTAATTTTGTAATCGAAATGTTCTTTAGGACCAGAAAATCCGACAGTCCTAGCAGATTTCGAGAAGGCCCTGTGACTAGACTGTGCGGTAATGCAGTGGAAAAGAATGAAAAGCCTAAGGTGGAGCAGGATGAAGCAGACGACGATAGTTCACGAGAAAGTGAAAAGCCAGATAACAACGACAATTCTGAAAACGAAGATGTAAGTGGTACTTTGCGACATTTCCTCCGAATATTTTTTCCCTAAGTATTTAAAATTATGCATTAACATATGCGGTCTTATTAACACATGTTATAATTATCAGTTGGATAACTGTGAGAATAACTAAGGTTTTTATTTTGAACTCTTTTTTACCGATAAAAGAACCTCTAAAAATGGCTTATAAACCTTCTGATTAATTGTAAATCACTTTCAGAGATGCATTTATCGATAAGAGAGAGTTATGAGGGCCTGAGATTCTGATAAATATTCACTGTTTTATAATATTTTAATTTCATTATATAATGTTTTTTTCTTCATATTTTTTGTTACGTAGGGATACGAGGATATGTACACGCGCATTAAAAGAACAAGACGAACGACTCAACGACAATTGCCAAGAGGTAAGATATTCAAAAGTTTAGATATTCTGTATATAAAATTAATTTATAACAAGCATATTTCTTTGACTCCTTTTCTCCTCAGAAGATAGCATATTCTATTTTATCTAATTCTTTAATTTACTTTTTCAGTAGAGGTAGACAGTGATATGAGCGAATCCTCGGATTCTCCCGGGCCTAGAAAATACAGCTTACGTCAAAAAAAACCTACCATAGATAGATTTCAAGCCAATGTAGAACCAGTTCGGCGATCTATTAGAGCTCTTAGAAGTGTTCTCAGTAATTCGATGAGAAGGAGAAAACATAGAACTAAAAGTACGAGTTCTAGCGATTCCAGCGACTCTGAGCCTCAACGTTATGACAAAAAGAAAAGCAAAAAAGCGAGGTAGTTATTCATATTATAAGAAATTTGTTTTTACAGTTTCGTTAACGTTTCGGTTAACATAAATATTGATGTTCTTGCAGACAATCGACGATACCGCAAGGTGGTCCACCAGATCGAAAAGCTGACATATATCCTATCACCTTAGACACTAATATTAGATTTAGCGACGTTGGGGGTTTAGAGTCCCACATTCACTGCCTTAAGGAGATGGTTGTCTTTCCTATGATGTATCCGGACGTTTTCGAAAGGTTTCACATTACCCCACCAAAGGGTGTCTTGTTTCACGGTCCACCAGGTATTCAGAGCATACTTTTATCCTTCTACCCTTCTAAAGTTTGGTGAAGTCTATCTTAATGTGCAACTCGAAAATTTATTTAGGAACTGGTAAGACATTGATAGCTCGAGCGTTAGCCAATGAGTGTAGTCAAGGTAACAAAAAGGTGGCATTCTTCATGAGGAAAGGAGCTGACTGTCTGTCAAAGTGGGTCGGAGAATCGGAACGTCAATTGAGATTGCTGTTTGAGCAGGCTCAGCAGATGAAACCGTCCATAATATTTTTTGATGAAATAGATGGTCTAGCGCCTGTCAGAAGTACTAAGCAGGATCAAATCCATGCTAGTATTGTGTCCACACTCTTAGCACTTATGGATGGTCTCAGTGACAGAGGAGAGGTAATTGTAGCAATGCAAAGAGATTGCTTTTGCCAACACTTTATATAGTAGAATTCGTAATTGCATATTTTTTTTTCCTTATAAGGTTATAGTTATTGGTGCAACAAATAGAATTGATGCCATCGATCCTGCTCTGCGAAGACCCGGCCGGTTTGATCGTGAACTTTTCTTCCCGCTACCAGCCATGAAGGAAAGATTAGAAATTCTAAAGATCCACGTAAGTAAATGGCAAAATCCTCCGTCTGATCAGTTGCTGGAGATGTTGGCGGAAAAGGCTACTGGTTATTGCGGCTCGGACTTAAGAGCCTTGTGTACCGAAGCAGTACTTCAAGGATTAAAGAGAACCTATCCACAAATTTATATGACAGATGACAGACTACTGCTGGATCCGGAGAGAGTCGAAGTACGTTTCATGCATTAGCAAAAATTGTTATATATCGAAAACTATAAGTTTATTAAATTTCGTAATTTTGTATATTATTAATTATATTAATTAACAGGTGCAAAAACGTGATTTCATACAAGCAAGTTCTATTCTTGTGCCATCATCACATAGAGTTGCACCATGCGCAGGAAGAAAACTGCAACTTTTTATGAAACCACTATTAGGACCTCCACTTGAAGAGTTAATTGTATTAGTGAAAGGAATATTTCCTCAAGGTGTAAATCCCGCCATGGCAAAGTAATTATTTTTTACGTGTATATACATAATATAACAATAATAATATTGGTTGGATATATATGTATGTATGTATATGTTGTGTGTGTGTATATATACATAACATTTTCTTTTCTTAGAGTGAAACATGCTAAAGGTATTCATCGCCCAAGAGTACTAATTTCTGGTGGCAACCTGTCCGAAGGTCAAGGACCTCATTTAGCGCAAGCACTGTTATATTGTATGGAACATCTGCCTGTTCAAATCTTAGATGTCAGCACGTTATTTGCAGAAAGTGCTCGATCACCAGAAGAAACTTGTGTGCAAGTAAGATAATATTACAAAGTTTCTAATTTTTACGTTTTTGTCTAAAAATTACGAAATATTATTTAATTTTACAGTAATCAAAAATAATAAGTGAAGATAATTTTATCTATTTTATGGTTTTTAAGCTATATATAAAGCTTAATCTTACGTTAAAGAAAAATCCTACATTTTATTCCAATATATTACAGGTATTCAATGAAGCTGCTAGAAACGTCCCGTCCATAATTTACATTCGGTCGATCGACCAATGGTGGCCTCTCGTACCGGAGACAGTGAAAGCAGTCTTTCTGTGCCGTATCGCAGCGCTAGATCCTTCATTGCCGATTTTAATTCTCGCCACGAGCGATGCGACGTATCAAGATCTCCCTAACCAGTTAAAAAGTTTGTTCAGCGAGTTACGCGGTGAAGTGTACTCCATGAAGACACCCACTACCGAGCAAAGAATGAAATTCTTCCGACCTATATTTATGATTCAAAGCGTAAGGCAACCACGGATCAAAAGCAACAAAGTAGACGTTTTAGAAACACTGCCACTAGCACCAGACCCGCTGCCAAAGAAACTGACGGAAGAGCAGAAACAAATCATGTACGAGAAAGACGAAATCTCGCTGAGAGAATTACGAATTTTTCTCAGAGAAATTTGCTCCAAACTGGCGAGAAATCGACAGTAAGTAGTGAATAGATTACTTTTGCATTCTCTTTCTTTTGTTGCAGCTTCTTTAACAAAATTGTTGCTTCAGATTTTTCATGTTTACGAAGCCGGTGGATACGGAGGAGGTGCCGGATTATAACCTGATAATAAAACAACCGATGGACTTGGAGACGATGATGACGAAAATCGACATGAATTGTTATCTGTGCGCTCGTGAATTTCTCGACGACATTGATCTCATATGCAGGAACGCTCTGGAATATAATCCGGACAGGTCAGTAGCTTGAATGAAAAATAATTTCTTATTTTAAAAGCTGTTACTACATGTGAGCTCGAACGCATCAAAGGAAAAGGTGTTTCGAGTGAAAGTATCTCCATTACAGAAGCTGTTATCGATATTATGTTATATCATAAGGTTCATCTTCTAGCGATACTGTCCTTTTCTTCTATACTGACATTCATATTGTATGTTTTCATGTCAGCTTACGTGATAGGCCTTCCCTCGGGATATTAAAGAGGTAGTTGAGCTTTACCTGTTTATCCGTTGCTGTTATCGCTGCGTAGATAATAGTGGTTTTCAATTTAGAACGCACCACATAATCGTTGATGTTTTGCTAGACACCATTACGACTAATTCACAATGCATCATTGAAGACCACTCCCATTAGTTCATCGTGCTTTCTATGGATGGAATGCTAGAATCTGAATGGCCTGCTTTATACGTGTCTCTAATATGTTTTGTTCTCGCTACGCAGGGATCCCGCAGACAAGCTGATAAGACATCGGGCATGCTCTTTGCGCGATAATGCTTACGCTTTAATAAAAGCTGAGCTGGATTCCGACTTCGAGGACAAGTGTCGCGAAATTTCCAAGAACCGTCGAATTTTAGAAAATAATTGTAACAACGAGAGTGAGAGTAAAACCATAAAGACGGAATCTACTTCTACGAGCGAACGAACGGAAAAGAAGGATTCCATAAATTCTAGTCATTCTCTTGTCGTAAACGGAAAGAAATTTGGTAGTTCAAGGAAACGTAAGATACCAGCTTGGGCACGCGGTTACGTGAAAAAAGTCCAGAAGAAGAAGAAGATCGCTTTCGATGAAAACGTCACCGAAGTGACAAGTAAATCATGCAATGAAACCACTAGTATCGATTTAGAAAAGTTCCAAGAATTCGAGACGGAGGCTCATAATGTTCTAAACGGGCACATAGGATTGTATGATAATACCGATTCGGAGAACGACTCGCAAAATGAAAATTCGAAAGAGACGCAGGGGAGCCAAAATGATTCTATAATGGATCAACGGATAGATAATCTCGATCATACAGAGTTATCTTTCGCGAACGAAGAGAAAACTGTTGGAAATGGCGACTCAAATTCCTCGTCTCGACGCGAAAGCATGGACGAGTTGTCGTTCGCGATCGAAAGCGATTCTAGTCGAGAGAAAATTGAAGAGAACGAGAAGATTATAATCGACAGGAATGAGCTCGAAAACGCATGGCACTACACAGTCGAAACAACGGAAAACTTTCCCGTCGAAGTGCTGTGCGATATTTATGTGCAACTAAGTAGATGTGTTGGAAAATATGTTCACATCTACGATAGAAAATCACTGCCAAAGGTGAGTACTTCTGCAATCATAGCAAATCGTATCACGATAAAACTATATTGACTTAATTCAGACACGTTTCTTAATATCATTACTTATATTATGCACAGGACTTGCTCAAGGAAATGGAAAAGTTTGCAGAGTACAAGACGCAACGTTATTAGAGTATAGTACGCAAATACAGCATTCAATGACAAAATGCAGTATGTTGCTAATATGAGACGAAACGTGCTATGTAAAATCATGCCACCGTAAATATCTTTAGCGACGAGTCAGATCGTTTCTTTTGTATATTTATACTGAACGCAAAGCCGAATTATCACTGTTATATGAATCGAATCTTTGGAACAGTATATTTTTTTGGTTATATTATACTGCCAAGAGCTTTACGTAAATAACAGCACGTATATGCAACAATCGCATTTGTTATGTAAGATAGCGGATAATTAATTCATTAATTTTAGTTCAAGATTGAATTTCGCATACTTAATCAGATTGATTTTCTTTTTGTATATACTGTAAAACCGCTGTAAATGATAAACTCGAACATTTGATATTTCGTATAAAGTATCGTTGCGATTTTCCAATACGAGTAATAAGAAAGAACGAACTATGTTGTTTATTAACACACATCGTTATTACTTGTAATAATTATTTAGACAATTTTTGTTTTAGAGAAAATTTCAACTTGCTTCTGTGCATATTATATTTCTTTATCTTCATTATATCATTGCTATCATGACATTATCATTTTATTGTCATCTTCATCAAACAAAATAATTACATTATTACTATTACGTTAACTATTATTATTAGAATTATTTTTATTAGTATCATTATTTTGATTTTATAGCTATCTTATCGAGATTATATTACCATTATTTACATGACACAATCATGGATAAGATAAAAATAATAACAATTACATGATATTCTTTTGATTACATCTTCGGATTCTTTTCTATGGGGACACTTGTAAAAAAAATTTTTAAATAAGATAAAGATTGATAATGATTTCGAAAAAGATAGGAAAGATGAAAATATTGGGTCCGTTTGCCATATTTTTCAAAATTATCTTTTAAATTCTGTTCACATGGATTACAGAGATACAAGAAATCAAAAACGTAGAAATTGGTATATTGTGTACTTAACCATTTTCGTTCTAGTAGTTTTCACCAAACAGACACACATCAGCATGATGTGATGATTATATGCACAATTTTAGATTATTGATTATTACATTATGTTTCTTTATGACATGAGTTTAACACAATTAAGGATAATGAACTATCCTACAAATATTCATTTCATATTCAAATACAAATTTGCAATCAAGGAGAATCGAAATATAAAACGATTGGATATGTTTTTTTGAAGCTGCTAAGATTGAGATTCTCTTCTTACATCAATATACCTCACGCTACAGAGTGTATCAATTCGAATTATTAGTATAGAATAATACGCTTTGCGTAAAATTATAGCGAATCAGAGGTCATCTTTTTGAGAAAAAATCCATACATGAAAATCTAGGTATGATTTATAGAAATGGAATTAACAAAAGCATTATATTCACACAGAGAGTGAATACATATCTATATAGTAAATTCTTGATTAATATTATCTTGATTTAATATTATCAATAATTAATATTGTTGATCAATGATATATTAATACTAATATAATCATACAAATTATATATATATTGTTGTGTGTATGTGTGTGTGTGTGTAGAGAGAGAGAGAGAGAGAGAATGTCCCAGACTCTCCTCCAATTTTTATGGAAACGTAGAACGGATTGAGGTAAACATAAAAGTCCTATGCCGTTTTGCGATGTTCGCAATAAATCTCGAGATGTAGGACTTTTATATTCAGCTCAATCCGTTCTACGTTCCCAGAAAAATTGCGAAAAAGAGCCGGGGGACTCTGTATATATACAGAATGTTTAACGCAAGACACGCAATATTATGTGTGAAGGTAGAGCACGTCTGCCTGAACATGAAAACCCCTGGCAGTTTGCAAACTACGTGAAATTTCGAGATAATAATAAAAGAAGATTAGCGAATCAGTATAACGCTGTAACGCGCGGACAAGTTTTGCGTTTCTTGTGTCAGACACCCTGTATAATAAAAAGTTTTTAATTGTATGATTATATTAATTAATACGTAATCTTTAATATTAATTATTTATATATATTCTCTATATATGTGCATGATATAAAATAATGATTAATAATTTTTTTTGGGTTAAAATCACACTATCCTCTCCGATTCGATAATTAAACGTCTTGGTTATGAATGTGATTTTTTCTCATTTTAGCGACTTCTAATTCTATCTAATGCATTTCAGTTCATACTTAAGAAGAGTTCGAGATGCGACTAATAATCCGCAATTTAAATAGACCAAAGTTGTAAAAAAATATAAGGTTTTATTCGTCGGAAATGAAAAGAAACAGCACTCTTACATACGCATACATTACTATAAAGATAAAATACCTCGATAAAACGCGTGTATTACAGTGACGGCTGGTTAGTCATGTTATGTTATTGTCTCGAGTTATCTCCAAAGGTTAATCCGTTTAGAAATCAGAATTTATTGCTCTTGAGTTAAATTTGCAAGTGAGTTTTGACAATTAATAAATATTAAAACGGACGAAACCTAGAGAAATTTATGCAAAAGGAAGATAATTAGAATCTAGACAATTATCAATTAATAAGACATTGACTTCCAATCGATCTCAAACATTCTTGAATATCTAGCCGTCACTCTATAAAAGTCCTGGAACTGTCGCACTTCCTTTCGTATTTTATTTACCTTATATTTCTCGATTAACTTCCAAAGCTAAATTTTTCAAATCATCTCGCTTTTTCTTAATTATTTACGAAGTTATTAATCTCGAGTTAAAATCTACTGTTCTGCTCGAGTCTTATTCGCACTTTTAAAATATGATAATTTCACAGCCAACTGCTCTGAACATTTTATAAATATGTCAAATGTTCCTATTTGTAAATAACGAATTTATACAACACAAAGGAATCAATTTGATTGAAATAGCTTTTCAAGACCAAATAGAAGCGAGCAGAACAGCAGTATTAAAACGGTTATGTCGTCGTTTTCACTAATTAATCCGAAGTCGACGCGCTCTCGAGAGGAATCGCGACCATTCCGGTGGACTCTGTGTGTACATGTATATGTATAAATATTAGTGAATATTTAGCATGTAATTTGCCTTCCAGATTCGTATATTGGTTGTGATTTGCTGTAATTGCGAACGATTAGTTACCAGATAAAGTCGAGTATACGCGACGAGACGACAAAGCTCGTTTCGTTCCAAAGTGTTTCGAGCAGCCTAAAAAGCAAATTCTCTCCGTTAAACTATGCAAACTCGTAATCATCGACGTGATGCAGGGCGCAATAAGTCCACATATTCTGCCGTTCACACCATACGATCGGATAGGGAATTCTAGGTGATAAACTTTATCGATAAAAAAAAAAACACTTGTGTGAGATCCACGAGTAATATCTTTCTTAGGGATATAATATCTCATTGGTATATCGAAATATGAATTCTTTGTTAATGCGCAATGTTGCGCGCAGCGTGATGTACCAATTTCTTCGTTAGTAGCATATCTCCGTTTCTCGATGCATCGGGCGACGCATCAGTAGCGCATATTCTAGCGAGATTCGAAATTTCATAGTTAGCATATACAAATTCGGTTTCGCTCGGCGATCGATTGTCCGTCGAGAAATTCGATTGTATTACATTGCGAAATTCTCTAGTGAGTAGAATCGAAAAGACTGAGGACTTTTAAAAACGTTCGCTTCTTTTTAGCGTGTTCCTACCCGAGCAGCACGAAGCAACATTGGGCCAATGTCGAGCCTGCAGCGGCTAACCATTGGCCAACTAATAATACGTGCTGTCAGGGTATTGCGTGTAAATGTCGTTACGTTCTCGATTCAGCTTCGATTAGAGGCGTTTTTTTCGTTTCGTGACCACGGTAGCGTTTGGTTGGTTAGTTTGGTCCAGTTGACGCTCGCAACGCCGCGAGTGTCTTTCTATCTTTGTTGTTCGAGCGGACCAAACTAACCAACCAAACGCTAACGTGGTCACGAAACGAAAAAACACCTTAGGAAGTGAAAAAAAGATAAAATGAAGGAGAAAAAGAAAGGGAACGGAAAGGAGACCATTGTCCAGTGGCTGTTCGTGCGAATTATATCACCGATTCTCTCGCTCGCGTGATGAACCCTGAATCAGTGGCGAATTGCAATAAGTATCCGGTATCTGCCAAAGAATTAACGACCGATAATGCTCTAGCGAAACTCTTTTCTCGCATGTAGTAGGCGTTAAGTGTAATACACACAGAAAAATTGCATCCACGAGCAACGTGATGAGATGTGATCATCATCGAGCCAACGGGCGGACGTGATTTTTCTGCCTCTGTAGCGATACGACAATTTTACATTCCGCCTTTTTCTTTCCGAAAGAAAAGATTCGAAATGGGGAAACGACTATTTCTACTTTTTGTTGTATCCACGATCCGTTCTTGGTGCTACTTTCGGACGTACTACCATCTCTGTACTATTCACTGCAATGCGGTGCAATTGCAAATCCGTATATACGTATATATGTATATGTATAAAAAAAATGGAAACACTGTACACATCTATGTGTGTATGAGCGCGTGTGTGAATGTGTATATCTGTGAATGGGTGTGTGCGTGCGTGTGTGCGCGCTGTCTCGATTCTCGAGAGATTCTCGCGAAACACTGCCGATTATAGACGAGCGACCACGACACTCATCTCTCAATAATCGCCCTTAAGACTACTGTCTACGGAGAAAGTCGTCCGCATGTTCGAGCTTGCTGTAGCATATCAGGTCCGGCGATCTTTTTCTACGACAACAATGTGACACGACGCGGGATAGACGGTAGTCTTAAAAATGTATCTACACACGAATTGTAAAAGGTATGGACGAGAAGCGACGATGCATCCACTGCCTTATTTATTTTACCATATAAGTAATACATTTGATTGTCATACAGTATAGTGAAATAAAGTTTCATAATGTAATTAGTTTCCAGTGCGGACCCGCGCATCATCATTCTGTCCGTTCTGTTTTCCCACATCGCATATGATGTTACAACTACTTGCCGTGTCTGCTTGCCATTGCGAAATTATCACGTTGTAGTATCAAGGTAAAAGTACCAATTCTTGGATAATAACACTGGTACCAAACTCTGGATATACTTGGATTGCTTAAATTTTCAAAATACAGATATTCAAGCTTTTAACGTCCAGATAGCACAAGGTCTCCAGGAGACGTTCTTAGTTAGTTAGAGCGCGTAAGAGCGACTGACTCGCCACTAGCGAGTCGGTTAGCTGTTATGATGGGAAGTTTGCAGCTTCCAGGAATTTCACAATTGTAAGTCGCGAAATGAAAAACTTGTTTGTGTCGCGAGGTACGTGCTTCACACGCAATTTACCCGGTCTCGTGTGGCGCGTTCACGACGCACCGGTGTGACGACTAGCCAACGGGTCGCTTGCTCGATCCGTTAATTTGCGAATAACCGATGTTTGAGAAATTAGCTTCCAATACACACACACACACACATATATATATATATATATATATATATATATATATATATATATATATGCAGTATAACGCCCCCACCTTGAATTTTTTTCAAACTTTGTAAATTTGTATATTTTTACGCATAGAATTGATTTCTGAAAACGAGAATTGTCGCTCACTTTTCGTTTTCTTGTTTTTTTTTTATTTTTATATTTTATAATGTCGGTAAGTAGGAAAGACAAAGAATAGTTCATACATGCTTTTCTACTTTAATCAAGAGCATAAACTCTGTTATAAAGCAGAGAATAGTTCATGTATGCTTTTCTTTGCTTTAATCATATACACTATCTTATAAAACTCTTAATAATTACCTTTTTATACGAATTAAAATTTAGATCTAACTGTACTGCATATTTACCTTAATATATATAATTTTATATAAAAACGGTATAAGATTTTCTTTTATGTTCAATCCGTACTGTCTCCACGAGTGCTTCGAAGATTGTTCTGAGACATCCTGTATATATTTTATTTTATATATATATATATATATATGTTGTGTGTGACGCGCGCGCGTATACATATATATGTATGTACCTCCGCACGCGCGAAAACATACGAATGCTATTGTATCGATACAATTCCAACCCCTACGACTTCCTGTCTGTTAAAGCTGGCGAAACGTCAGGAATAATGAAATTGAGTAGTGAACTCTTGTAACTTTCTCTTTCCTCTCTCCAAGTAATCCGCGTAAAAATTCCAGTGACAAAATCGATTATAAGAATATACGAAGAAATCTGCGACTCTGCACGATATAAATATAATAATTTTACCAGTCGGTGATCGTAACAATGACATTTGAGTATTGAACCATTCGTGATAAAGGTACTTTTCACTGACAAAACTGTCCTTTCTTGACGAAAAAAGAAGAAAATGTCCAACACGAAAGACTTCTCGTGTGTCGGTGGGCTGGAGAAGCACATCAGGATCGTGAAGGAAATGGTTCTGTTCCCACTGATGTACGGAGAGGTTTACGCTAAATTTAATCTCAGACCGCCACGTGGTTTGCTATTCTACGGCCCACCAGGTAAAGTCAAAGTATTTATCAACAATGAGATTTTGTTAGAACATACTTTCTCTTCATCAGGAACCGGGAAAACCCTCATAGCCAGCGCGCTGGCGACCGAGTGCAGCAATTCCGAACGCAAGGTCTCCTTCATTTCACGCAAAGGTTCCGATTGCCTCAGCAAATGGGTTGGGGAAAGCGAAAAGAAGCTTGAGAAGATTTTCTCGTTGGTTAGTGGAATTGATTCTTACATCATTCTTGTTACATATTTATTATATCAGAATTTCTGTATATTTATATTTTTCCAAGTATAAATACCAGAAAATAAAATCGTGCATTGCCTCTTTTCTTGAGATTATTTTTCACCGCAGAATCTAAATATATATATAAAATGCCACGTCCCAGTAAACACCAACCATCAGTAGTACAACATTAATGTTACAATTTCTTACTCAACAATGTAAGTACAATATAATACATATTATGTATTGGAACAGTTATACTGTTGAAAACTACATTGATGCAATGTTACTATTGGTTGGTGTTTATTGGAATGTAAAGAGTGAATGATATATATATATATATATATATATATATATATATATATATATATATATATATATATATATATATATATATAA